TGATGTGGAAAGATCATCTACTTAAACCACGTCCTCCCCCTCTGTTGTGTGATTTCCTGTTTCTGCCAACATCGTGTCAATCCTTACAACGTCTCCTTCTGTGACAGCCTCGAGCAGGTCTCCAATCAGCATCATTCCTTAGCTGAAAAGACCTTTTGTCGACAAGTACACCCTTCAAGGACCACTCCTTTTCCGTCCAAACACCACAGTTGCAGTGATTCACCTGTTCCAAGGCTCATACCATCAAAATGCAATTCAAGAACTTCGTTGCTGGCGCAGCCGTGCTGCTTGCCTCTGCCCCTGCCGTCCTGGCCCTGGGAACCGCCACCGTCGTCAACAACTGCGGCTATCCCGTCTATTATGCATCGGTCGGAGGCAGCTCCAACCCGAACATGCAACAGCTCCAGGGAAGCTATAGCGAAGGCTACGGTCAGGAAGGTGTTGGCGTTTCTATCAAGCTTGCACCCAATGCCACCACCTCCGGACCCATCTCTCAGTTCGAGTTCACCTGGGCCAATGGCAAGATCTCGTACGATCTCTCCAACATCAACGGCTACCCCTTCTCTGCGGGTGGCATGCAGATTGTTCCTTCGATGCAGAACGACCCAAGCAACCCAACCTGTGTCGTCGTCGACTGCCCTGCCGGCGAGGCTGTGTGCACCGCGGCCTACAATGCTCCCGATGACACTCGCACCATGGTGTGCAACGAGGAGGCCAACCTCGTCCTGACCATTTGCCCCGGTGGATCGAGCAAGCGAAGCGTCGCCGTCAACGAAGGCCAAATCCATTACCGCGTCCATGCTCGTCACTTGCCCAAGATGGCATAGATGACCGCGGCCCAGCAACTTCGGACCAGGAACAGTCACCAGCATTAGATGTCATTTAAGTTTTCCAATACTGTTTGCGCAGCTAGCTCTGCCGCCTCTCTACCGCCTTACGCTGCCTGCATATACGCTCCTTTACGGTATCTTCCATGAGTCGACACATGGATATATCAATGCCCCTGCAGGTTTAGTACCCGATCTCGACGATCATGAACCATCTTTCTACACTTTTCAGTCCCGGCGACAGGTCTCCCGTGGAATATTGGAAAACAACATCAGGACAACAATGCGTGGCTACACAGCAACAAATTAACAGAAATCTCACGAAACATGCAGCGAATCAAGTCATGACATGACTGATGATCAGCAGCGGCGGCGATGGTGGACAATGATTGGCTGGCGTTACAAAACTTTCTTCTCGGATCTTTTTAGGGCAATAGTCTTTTTTTCCTGACTTGCTCGCGGTATTATCGACATGACTTGAGGTTCCTTGATCTGGCATATACCTCTATAACAAAAACAGGGGATGTCATGGTCGGACTCAGCGCATGTGCAGATGGTGGGTGGAAAAAATTCTATTGTTATAGAACGTGGATAATATCCCCACGGAGACTCGAGGGATGCCGCTCTCTACGAGATTTACAACGGGTGTTATTACGTGAATGTTGATAGACTTCGCTTCTTGGATACCATACACATAGGGACACTTTGAAAAGAAAATTGAAAACAAAAACCGTCGATATTGTACACGGACAATCTTTGATTGCGTATCTCGAATTTTGTTTTGGTGGCTGTTGCTGTTGTTGCTGTTGTTACCGTTGGGCTGGGTCCAAGCAACGGCACGGCGGTTGGTGGTGGTTGGTGGTTGTGATTGTGGTGATGAGGTTGATTGATGATTGACAAAGATGACGACGACGATGCGCTCGGTGGCGTTGGTGGCGCTCACTAAGAGTTACGGGTGATAGGCTTTGACAGCCCCCTTGTTAGTCGCAAGCCACATGCATTGTTGGAACTGGTACTCCGTACCGGGTACGGGTACACGATACTGGTAAAGAACACGGTACGAGTACCTCAGTTAAGGTACTCGTAAACAACTCCATTGAAGAAGCGAAGAGCATCTCGCCGTGCAGAGCAGAGGGATCGGGACTACGAGTACGAGTAGAGTACGTGTAGTGGTGTTACCCCAACCAGTAATCCAGTCCTCTAGCACTCGGTACCTGCATAGGGCATGTACCGAGTAGAAAAGTCCCTTTCCCCTGCATTGTCAATTACGGTATTTCGCACGGGAGGGGGCGCGAGGGCCCAAGGGCGCTACGGGGGTGTTGGCCCAACCCGGATCACCGTTGACTTTCCTCGCTTGACGGCCGTCCCAGTCAGTCCAAGCTTTTCGGCTACCGAGGAGCTTTGGAAGCTCCCATCCATGCATGCATGCACGAAGGAGGGGAGAGGGGTTGGTTCCGGGTGCCTATGTGCCTAGCACAAGTACATGTAACTTATCATTAAAGTTGATCAATGATCTTCGGAACAGGACTTTTGTTGCTGGTATTTTGAGACTGGGTGGCTTGGTCTGCGAGTATCTTCGCATATGAGTATGAGTGCGAGTACAAGTAAATCAGGTAGATAGCTAGGGATGCACGCTCGTACGTAAGGTCTCTTCTCAGTGCCTACAAATGTACTCGGTACTCGTATGAACGAGTACTCGATACCAAGTACAGCTACAGCTGCCTAAAGCTGGGTACATAGATACGAGTTATCTTACCGGGCAAGCCGCCCCGTGCACCCGTGCGTGCATGCATGCATGCTAAGACCTAACGACCGTCTCCCCGAGCCCCCGCCTGGTACCGCTGGGCTGGTGGGTGCGTGCGTGGGTGAGTGGGCGGCCCAGCCTGCCAGGTACGCGGCGCAGGGGAGGCGGCGAGGCGGTTAACCAGGGGTTGCCAGGAACATGAAACAGGGAAAACATGAAACAGAGAGATGCTTAATTTAATTTATTCAATCGATGGGACCATGTTCTCGGTAGATGTTCCATGCACCCATGCTCGTCCTCGTACCTAGGGCACACAATAATCTCGTAAGGCACTAGTACCTACGAGGACGAGGAGAGCACAACAAACATGTATGTAGGTAGGTACTCGTAGCTAACTTGTTGGGGTCCATCAGCCACGACCCAGCGGAGGAAATTACTCGACGGGTAATGGCTGCAGCGTCGTCATCACCTCGGACATTTGTCGACGACGACGAGGATTCCACTGCGGACTTGAGATCACACTGCGCCTCCTCCATCTCCTACGGTGCCTGCTGTAGGCAATTCTATTACTGGACCAGCTGGACAGGCTGACGGGGAAGAGGTGGAGTGTGGGATCTCTAGCACCTCTTGCATCCTGCCATCGATTTACCCGTGGCTATGGGATTAGAACCATATCAGCAAAAATAACAATCCTTCGAGGAGCTGAGTGTTCGGTTCTTGGTACCCGGCGTTTACTCGCTCGCAGGCACTCGTAGGTGGTAAGTGATGCCGGTAAAGAAGAGGCTGCGACGTGAGGTGTTTTGAAACATGCAGTTCGGCTCTCCTGGCCAAGATCTACGAATAAGGGGTACTGCAGGTAAAGTTCCTGGGGTAATTGTTACAGATTACAGACCACAGATGACATCTCGCCAAAGACGTTGGATTGGAGAACAATACTGCTCGTAATAGGAGAGACGTCGAGTTTCTACCAGCGAACGAGTCTTTCATCACGACCGACTGGCCGCCTAGACCGCGTTGACTGGACTGTGCGAGGAGCCTCCACGGAGGGTGACAGAGTGAGACGTCCGTCAACGCCGCAGGAGCAAACAATCAACAAAAAACCCCACGAATAGATTCTTCTCGTGGAGGGTCTGTGGCATCTACTCGGTCCTATGCATGGCCATCCACGCCCCTGGGACTGAGACATTCACCTCCACCTCCACCTCAGCAGCAGGTCTGCCCCTGTTGCCCAGGCGAGGCTGACATCCCCTCAGCTTGACAGGGTTGATCCCGGGAGATCGCGTCCAGCAGCCTTTGTGCAAACTTAAACCGTGGAAGTCAAGTGGACTCTCGGCATCCTTGACTCAAGCCGCGTGAGTGAGCCTCACTCAGCAGCTACCAGCTCCCCAGGGCCCATTTGATGCCGGGATGTCTCTTTGCTTCGAGCAGCACGTTCCTCGCGCCGGCTGCGGTCCTGCTCCTTCGGATTAAAATAATAACAAATGGACATCTGCACGGTTCGCGAGGTACACTTTCTTCTCCACATAATCCCCAGCCTCCTCCGGACTGACAAACCCAACGCGCCCGCTTCAACGTCGGGCAAGGTCATTATTAATGCCCCCGAAGGAGCATACATGTTCAAATGTCAGACCCCCTGAAAAGCGTGGATGATATCCAGGTCATCACGTGATATAGCGCCGCCGACTTGTCAGTTTCTGCCATTATATCACGTGATGGCTCGGGTCCCATCCACGGCTTTTCAGTGGACAGAGAGAACTAGATTCTTGTAGTAGGTATATTCGAAGTCGACGGTCGGAACATGTACGCGACGGTAGGATATGTCGTTCACTCCTCTGGTCTACGTACCGTGAAACCAAGCAGTTCACTACGATTCGACCTTTCCACATCGGTACGAACCACCACCCAAGGAATAGGACATGATTCTCAACGCGAAGTTCCGCGACGTTTCGCTGGCGTGGTAAAATGGATGCCACAACAGCATCCGCCATCAGTCGCGAAGAGATAAACTCATACTTCGAGCGATGGGACTCGCTAGCTTGCTTGTGTTATTTAAATCGTCTGTATCAACCTGGAAGATTCGACCATTAGTAACACCAAATTGCAATGTACGATGAAGAGGTATGCACGCACATAGATATGGAGTTTAGTGCCCAGTCGATTTCTGGTTGCTGGTGGTTTAGCCTCAGAATCCGTCACGTAAGCAAGGCTGGGACTTTCGTATCTGCACGTGACCCATTTTGCAAGCGCAACTCTTTTTCATTCTCCAACAGTCATTTACAACTTTCGCCTTGCACATAGATCGTGTTCCTCCGCACACGCCTCTTCAACCATCCTTTCCTCCCTCTTCTGAGACCTAGTATCTCACCCGTAATCCGTGCGCCTTCATCCCATCCTCTTCGCCCACTCGAAGGATCCCAACCCCCAAAAAAATGTCGTCCTCACAAGCCTACCAAATCCCCAGCCAGTCCAGCGGCTTCGCGACCGGCTACGCCGCGGGCGAAGGCTCCACGGGCCCGACCGTCCAGTACGTCTGCGGCGAGTGCAACACGAAAGTCAGCCTGGGGAGAGGCGATGTCATCCGGTGTAGCATGTGTGGGCACAGAGTGCTCTACAAGGAGAGAACTAAGCGGTTAGTACTGCCCAGAAAAAATTGGTCTTCCACAACCAGGCGGTGCTCCTTGGGAATAAAGTGACGGATAGTGGGATAGTGTGGACTTGTTGCTGACGAGGAGATCTATACAGCATGGTGCAATTCGAGGCGCGGTGAATAAACTATACCGCGATGAACGGGGCGTTGGGGGGGTAGCACGTCCGATCTGATCGGTGGCGCCTGAAAAATGAGACATGATAGCGGCTGCGATGAGAAACAAACGATGCGGACGGAGGATGCAGACGCAGACGCGATGAACAATGAATTGGGTTCATGATTATGATTCTCCGCATAGCCTAGGCGTTGTTAGGACGGTGCTGAGAAAAGATGGCCTTGCCAGACACACCGAGGGATATCTGCCCAAAATAAATACAGAAATGACTCCAAAACAAGCCTGCTCCGGACGACATGATATACCAAGTGACATTGTAAACTTTTTGGGCTTCTCTATTTCTACGGCCTGTTGGTGAACTCTATGAATTTTTCGAATTCCTCCAGAGCCCGCCCGCTTTCTATGCACCACCTGGCCTTCTTGACGCCTTCTTTCCATCTCCCGCCCGCGGGACCACGCTCCGTGATGACTGGCCCACTCTCACAGCTGTCGGCGTCACAGGCGCCGCTCACCACCAGCAACGCGGCAATGTTCATCAGCACAAAGTGCAGGATCGGGTCGTCGCGAGGTCTCTCGTTGCGCAGAATGCTCATCAACACGGCAGCGTTTTGCCGGGGTAGCCCACCACCGCCGACCTGCGACAGTGGGTGCGTGGGCAGGCCAAAGTCGGCGGGCTCGAGCTCGAACCGCTCCACCTTGGAAATGTACTTGGGCGGCGCCTCGTCGTCGCTGGTCTCGTCGTCCTCGTCGTCGCGAGAGCCCCGGTACTCTGGATTCTCGGCTTCTCGTAGCAACCAGCAATTCGTCTTGCCCGCGCAACTGATCTCGTCGAGGTCTTCCTGTCCGCACACCACGAGCGCCTTGGTCGCACCGGACAATTGGAGCGCCTGCGCAAAGACGGGACCCAGCTCTTGGTACGCGACGCCCACGACCCGGGCTTCGATGTGCGCCTCGACGGGGTTGGCGAGCGGGCCCATCAGATTGAAGATTGTCCTCAGTCCGAGTTCTCTCCGCACGGTCGCGGCATATTTCATGCCCGGGTGGAAATTCGGCGCGTAGAGGAACGTGTAGTTGGTATGCTCGTACGCCTCGGGCAACAGCTCCGCGCTCAGCGCTTCTATCCGCGGCGCCTTGGGCAGGATCGCATTGAGCACGTCCGCCGACCCAGACATGGATGTCTGCGCCCGGTTGCCGTGCTTGGCCATCATCAGGATCGGCGACGCGATGATCGACGCCGTGGTCGAGATGTTGAATGTCGAATGCGAATCTCCGCCCGTGCCCACGATGTCGCACAGCCCGCCCCTGTACCCGCCCAGGCCCATACGGCCGCGCTTCCTCTTCCGCACGACTTCTCTCAGTATTTGCTTGTCCACCTGCACGGCGGCGTCGCGCATGCTCTCTGCGCACTTCGCAATCACGTCCGGATGCCGGTCCTTGCCCGTCGAGTGCAGGAGCGTCAGCAGCGCCGCGAGCTGCGTGGGGTTCAGTTCGTTTTCGAACGTGCGGGAGAAGGCCAGCGCAATGTCCTCGGCCTTGACGCTGTTGTCCTGGGGTGACGGGGCCGACAGCTTTTTCAGCAGCGGGGCGATCGAGACGTATTTGGGCGGAGGAGGGTCGGCCATCTTTCTGTATGGCTCACACGTAAATGGGGACCGAGTCTGTGATCTGGTATTTTATTATGTGCTCAACCTTTTTGAAATCCGTGCGAGACAAAGGGTTGGAAGCTGAAAGGAAGAGGTATCGTATGAGCACTGGCTGCGCTGGATTGTGAGTCAATAGCGCATGTGGTTGCGGGGCAATGAGCTGTTGCATCCCTTGAGCTTTTGCAGTGGGGAAACCTGCGACATCGATCGCTTGGAAAAACCCCTGGTTTCTTGGCAGGGCAAGGGAGTCAGCCTCGTTCAGCCTTGTCAGGGTTGAGATAACTACAAGAGCATAGCCTTTTGTCTTTCGGCAGAGATCGATACGGGTAGCTACCCTGCGTGCCTGCTCTATCCTCTAAGCGTCAACACGTCACCCAGAAATTACCGCTGAGACATAAACACGTCAAAGTCCCTGCGAAAAGCCCTCGCGAGACCATCTGGTATGCCATGTCGCATCGCCAGTCTGTAGAGGTCAGACTTGACATTTTCCATGGCCCTCAAATCATCCAAAGTCCACATCTGGGTCAAGACGACTTCGTACGCTCTTTCAACAAGCTGTCTCTGTACAGGAATCTTTGTCCTCTCGATCTTCCAAGTGAAGAAGCATTCTATTATGGTGTCGTCCTCTCCAGGATGGGAGAGAAAGCCGGGTTGTCCAATTGGTTGCATCGGCCAGCACAGATTCGCTGGAGTCGGGGCAGCATAGACCTGTCTGGGATCCGCCGTTCTCTGGATATCTAGGACTTTCGAAGATGGGAGGCTTACCGGTGCGCCGCAAGATGAGGCCGAGGGCAAGTGTAGCTCCGTTTCCGACCCGCCAGTCGCTAACCGTCCTGACACGGAGATAGAGCTAGTAGACCTTTGATGGTGAAAACGATCGCTTTCCCGTTTGTCCAACACGCACGCACGAGGGCGGCTCATATCAGACAGTAGGTCGACCTCGGACGAAGTCATGACGCCGAGTTGTGACAAGCATGAAAACAGGCTTGTGCGTGACAACGGCAAATCGTCAACATTCGGCCTGACACTGAGAGAAGCGGGAATCGAGTGCTCGGCCGAGGGCAAGATATTGAACTTCAGAAACGCAGCCTCGAGTCTCGAGGGCAGCAAATCCTCAGAGGCTCCGTCGGCCCCGATCGAGTCCAGAATGTGCATACAGTCGTAATACTTTTCCAACCTGCTTCTCTGCGGTTTTTGTGTTTCTGGCATGACGTCTTGAAGATGGACCAGCATGATTGGAAGCAGTAGGGTCACCCCCCGGGGAGTCATATGTGTTCCCATCTCGAGGTTCTTGATCGATATGGCGACGTGGGCTACCTCCTCTGCCGCGTCACGTAGCTTCGTCTGCGACAGCTGTTGATACATGGACGGTAGGGTGCTGGCCGCTTCTGACATCTGGGGTCTGTGAAGCGCAATCATAGCCGAGAGGAAGAGTAGTTTCAGGTGTGCTCGATGCATGGCGATGACATTCGAGGTCTTGATGAATGCAGAATCCGCGGGGTCGCGCAGGTCGAATCTTCCGGCGCCGGACAGACCACGATACCATTCTTGCAGTTGCCGGTCGAGCTCCAAGATCTCAAACGTATGGGCACTGGAATGGCGCGGGACAAGAATCGTCATCATCTTGCTTTCGGATTCGTACCGGCGACTCGAATACCGTGCTTGCAGGATCTCATTTATGCACACGCAGAGTTTTGCCTTTTCGATGCAGAGCGTTGCGAGATCAACCCGGCTCCTCTGGTCATCGACGAAAGCCCACGTTCTGAGGACACGGGACACCGCCGGAGAGAAATCCAGCATCTCGAAATCGTCCGCTGCCAGCATGGTTAGATGGCGATGCCACGCCCCCAGTTGTGGCGGAGTCCAAGTCATGAGCGCGACGAATTGATCGCGCATGAAACAACACCACCACAACCTCTTGAGCATTCGATGTCGCTTTGTGTCACAAGATTCGAGATGCAGGTCCAGGCCTAGATCTTGGGCAAGGGTCACGGCGGAGCGGATCCAAAACTTTCGATCTTTATGCGTTTCTCGAGGATCATACCAGTATGTCATCAACAGGAAGGCTTGTACCAGCACGACTCGATCCCTTTCGCAGTCGAGGTCGTATAGCAACTTTGGCGGTTAGCATCAGCGGCGCATCCCCGGACGTGAGTACTCACGCGTGCTCTTTCAAAGAATGCGCTTCTGGCGAGCTTTCTCGACGTGAAGCCCAACTCTCTCAAGACTTGCATGTCGACATGTGCAGCTCCAGAACACATGACAGCATAGAAGAGCAGTAAGCTGACCTTGTCCTCTGTATCATCTTCGAGCATCGGACGCAAGAACTCTCCAATATCCAGTAGAGGCAACAAAGGATAGCTGAATAGGAAGTAGCTGCGCAACAGTTCGTTCCGGCAGTCGGCATTCGGTATGTCGAAGACTCCCTTGTGCTGCAAATAAGCAGTAGTTTCGGGGCTCAAGTCTGCAACCAGAGGGCTGAAAAAGTTTGGTAACCTGATCTGTGGACATGCTGTTGACGAAGAGATGGAATTGTCACGGAGCATTGAATCGTGACCATTCTCTGTATGGGAAACGGACAGGCTTTTGTGGGAGCTTGGGTTCGTACAACGTCGCTTTTCTTGCCGCGCGGGCTTACTGTTGCCGGGCAAGCACTCAACCGCGTCAAGACGACAATTGGTGCAGGTGGAACCACGAATCTTCCTATCACATCGGGTCTTTCTGCTCTGGCAATATCTGCATGCTTGAGCCGTCCGCTTGAAGGCGGGTATGGGTGGCGGGGGTCGAGATTGACCGGGCAGCATTGTGACGGCCACTGAGCTGGTTGTGGGGGTGTAATGGTGAACAGGCAATATCCCCAACCTCGGGATCAAGTCATGCTTGGTGAAAAGGCCCAAATGGACCTGTGGGAGGATTAGAGGTGCGTCAGGTCTGGGGGTCTGTTGTGATGACTGTAAAGATAAAACAGCTTAGGGCGAGGTTCAAGACTGGACTAATAGCAGAGCACTCCGCCGGAATATCACAAGAATGGTCACGATATCACACTTTTGATGCCCACACTACAATGGCACAATGACTGTGGGCAGTGGCAGCGAGGTGGTGTAACGTCCCCTGAAAGAACTCCGCACGAGGCTACACTATTCCTGAATAGGAAGGGATCTTTGCCGCCTGCCGCGGAGGCCTCGGCGCCAGCCTTGTATGGGGTACGCTGGAAACCCCCCACACACGTATTCAATAGCTCTTGTGTATCTTTGCCGCACTGCCGAAACGTATGCTACATGTGCAGCCGCGGCTTTGGGGGACAAGATAGGTAGGTTTTCTTTTCGAGCAGAGCCGTCTCGGTACCAGACCTCTGCCAACAGATCAGAAGCTCGTCTCGGCTTGACATTCAGCTCTTCAGTACACATCTAGATACTTAGATCGACGTTTGATTCCTCCTGGGACGTGATCGACTCTCTTCAAAAGCCTTTACAGGGATACAAACCATGCCGTACCTAGCAGAGGAACACTATCCGATCCCAGGAACAGACTTGCTAACATGGATGTTTGACGACCACGTCGCATACGACGAAGACAAGCCGGTACGAATTAAAAGCCACTGGCGCCATGCCACTAGAAGTGCAAGTGCGACCGGGCTGCTCACAGCGTAATCACAGATATACATCGATGCGCAGACGCCTTCGCGATCGATCTCCTGCCGACAGGCTCGCAAAATGGTCCGTGAACTTGCCGCCGGTCTTCGTGGCATCGGTTTGAAGAAGGGGGACTGTGTCTGTGTGATGGCGTTCAACGATGTATGCGTTTGCTGGGCGGTGGTCCTGTGTTTGTCCCGTCTTCAACATCTTTTGCACCGAATCACTTCGTTTCCTCGCTGCAGATGCTTAGCGGCTACTTACAAAGATGACAGATCTATTACTCCATGATCTTCCTCGGGATAGTAGCCGCTGGAGGAATCTTCTCCGGGGTCAACCCTTCGTACACCGTCTTCGAACTGGCACATGCCATCCGTACCGCTGACATAACGCACCTGATCGTCGAGCCTGAGTTTGTCCCCAAAGCTTTACTTGCGGCGAGGGAATGTTCTCTCCCTGCATCGAATGTCTTCGCCTTTGACACCCTGAAACAAACTATTCCACAGCATCTGGGGGTGAAAAGTTGGAGGGCGCTGCTCCGCAACGGGCAGATGGATTGGGAACGATTCGACGATGAAACACGCAGCAAGGAGACCATCGTCGCCAGGTTGTTCAGTAGCGGGACGACGGGTATGCCAAAGGCGCTGGACATATCGGTCTGGAATCTTGTGAGTTTGGCTGCCTTCCGTCTCCTTGAAAGCGAATGGTCCTGATCGGGGTTTAGGTGGCACAGCATATTGTGGTGATGGAGGTCCGGCCTCGGCCATACGAGGTCAGTGCGGCTGTCCCTTTCAGTTCTTGAAGGTGGCTAACTCTGCACCCGACCATGCTCAGGTTCGCCGACTGATCTCGAACCCGCTTTTCCATGTGTCACAGGTCCCACGAGTCCACACCAGCGCGATCAAAGCCGGGATACCGACACACGTGATGCGTCGCTTCGAGCTCGAGGCGTGGCTTTCGAATATTTCGAGGTACAACATCACTGAGGTGAACATTGTCCCCATGATGGTCATCAGTCTTTTGACATCCGGTCATCTCGACTCGGGGAAATACTCGCTGCAGAGCCTTCGCAACGCGTGGTCTGGCTCCGCACCACTCGACAAGAGTCTTCAGTTTCGCTTCAAGAAGTACTTGCGGCCAGATACCCCGTTCAATCAGGCCTGGGGAATGAGCGAAACCACCTGCCTGGCGATGTGGTTCTACTACCCAGAGCAGGACTCTACGGGCAGCGTGGGGCGGCTGTTGCCCAACTGCGACGCAAAGGTTGTCGACGACGACGGAAATGATGTGACCGGCGTCAAGGGCCACGACGGGCAGAATGCCCGGGGGGAACTGTGCATTCGCGGCCCCATCATTGTGAAGGGTTATTACAAGAACGAAGAGGCGAATCAACGAGACTGGGATCGAGATGGCTATTTTCACACGGGGGACATTGCGTATTGCGACTCGGAGACAAAGAAGTGGTATATCGTTGATCGGAAAAAGGTACGTCGTCAGCTGGCCCGTGTATTCTCAACGTCTGCTCTCAAGTGAGCGAGTTGTTATCACGTTGTAGGACGTCAACAAGGCTGATTGCCCATTTCTTCGACAGGAACTCATCAAAGTCCGCGGTTTCCAAGTCGCACCCGCCGAACTCGAGGCTGCGCTCCTCCTGCACCCCAATATCGTGGATTGCGCCGTCATCGGGGTCCAAGCGGCCATCGACGAGTCCGAGCTGCCGCGAGCATATGTCGTGGTACGACCAGGCACGACTGTGACAGAGGCCGAGATCAGGGAGTTCACCAAGGACAAGTTGGCGCGGTACAAGCAGTTCGACGGCGGTATCCGATTCATCGACAAGGTGCCGAGAAACGCCAATGGCAAGATCCAGAAAGCGGAGTTGAGGGAGTCGGTGAAGAAGGAATTGGGTGCTAAATTATGATCGAGGTGAATACCTGGTAGTCGCTTCCTCTCAGCGGTCCGTGACAAAATAGAAATATCGATAGAAACAATACAGAGATTTTCTTTGACAAGCTAGCTAGCATCGCAGCCTCTGATTGTGACCTAGGAGATGTTGTGGACCTGGAAACTGCTCCCCTCAGACTCGGCATTCGCTTTCAGCATCGATCCTCTCCTGCCAATGTTCTCAACCTAGTACACGTATCTGAATTGCTTGTTCTTCCTATCCGTCAAGTCGTCGTTGTAGGCGTGCTCAAAAGCCTCGGTCATTCCGCTCTTGTCTCGTTTTGAATTCTCGAATTTGCAGACGAACAGGTACACTATGGCCAACACAACCGCTGCGGCCAGCCCTGCAACAATGACTGCAAACGCTGGAGCATAGACGGGAGCATCCTTCTTCTTAAAAAGCAGCGGCCCTGTGAAGTTGCCAAGACACCAGGCGATGAACAACCCAGCTGCAGTGACACTGCGCTTCGTGTAGCCCGCTGTATTGGCGATCTGTAGGCCCATGAGGATGGCATAGCCACCACCAAATGCAGGAAGGATCTCAATAGCGAACAAGAGACCACCTTTGGCAGACCGAGGCAATTGCCATAAAAGCAAGCAGCTCAACATGGTGGTGCAAACGCAGATGACAAAGAGGTAAATTCGAATTCCCTTGATTCGGTATGCCAGATAACAGACCAACAGTTCGATGGTCCCGGACACAAACCCAGCAGGGACAACTAGCAAGAGGGAATTGAGTGTGGAGTAGCCGAAGCTGTGGACAATAATGGGTGCCATCGTCGCGTTCGCCCCATTGGCAAAGAACATGAGGAAGGTGGTGAAGAATAGCAGGAGGAATCTGATATCTGTCAAAGCGTCGAAGACCTGAGACGGCTTAAAGTGTATATTTCGGACACCAGAGTTGTTGACCCTGAGTCGAGCCACAGCGATATAGCGTTCGCGATCTGTGAAATGTTTGGCGCGTATGGGATCCGGCGGCAGAAAAAATAGCACAAGGACCGAGAGCAGTGTTGTGACACCACCAGCGAAGAGGTACATGTACTGCCACGAGTGCAAAGAGCCTCCTGTGATGTGTCCGAGGCCGTAGTTGATAAGCGGTGAGACAATCGAAATGTAACCTGGATGGAGGTTGAAAATCAGCTGGGGACGCCCATTTGATACCGCATTGGGGGAAAAACGAACCAGTACAGCTGTACCAAACTCCCATTCTCAAAGCTTGTTCATCTTTTTTGTACCAACCCCCAACGACAAGCATGAAAATGGGCGAAATACCCGCCTCGATAACGCCCAAGAAGAACCTCTGTGTGTAGAAGCCGGCGTATGTTTTGCAAGCAGCACTGCACATGACGATGATGCCCCAGACAAACGTGATGCCTGTAGCCACTCGCTCAATGGGCCAACGTTGAGCCATCATTATAGCAGGATAGGCGCCGACGATGAAGCCCAGATAGAAGATGGAAGACGAAAACACAAAGCGGTTACCAATATCGAGATCAAGATCCTCTTCGAGTCCAAACAAAGCCTAGCATATCAAGAATTAGCGAGTCCCAAACTGGTGCAGTTGTAAACAGCTCACAGCTTGTGCCTAAAGGGAGTGTTAGCTTGACGAGCCGGACTGTTCAATTCTGTCTCTCACCAGCATTGCTTTATCATAGAATTGAATACCGTATACCAGGCAGAGGACAGGTAACAATCGCCGATCAATCTTTTTGACAAGGTCTTTTTCTTCCTTTCCGGTCCAGGTATCGTCCCCCTCAACGGCAGCAATGATCTTCAGTGCTTCATCGCCATGAACGGTGTCAACAGCCAAGGGTTTCTCGTACTTGTCAGCGACCAATTCTGTTGAAAGAGGAAGTGTATTTGGTGCATCCACATGGTGGGCGTCCGCCTTTTCGGCCATGGCTCAATATTAGGCAATTGGAAGTCCTGTTGAAGACAGACACGACCAAGAGGGGAGGTGCATATATTTGGGGAAAAGAGCGAGACTCGACGGCGGAGCACCACATAAGTTCAAATATATAGTTCAAACCTGATCAAGTCCCGGATATTTGTCGAACGGCTTCTCCCCCTGAGTTGCCGAGGACTCGAAGCATCCAGCCGACCAGACAGCGGATGTAAACATGATGCCCACACGGTATTGTATTAGTTTCTGGAAGAGCTGCCTTGCAAGGTTGCAGCTGATTTGTGAGGATTATTGTGATTTGGTGGGTAAGTTTTTGAGAAAGACCGAGGACTCCTCGGATTAAGGAGCAATTAGAGTAGGCAGAATAGGGACTTTGGGACTATACCTCCGTGTTGTCAGACAGGAGCATTTAATAGAGTCGCGGAGTCGTCAATGATTGGGCGGAAAAGGAGCCGCCCTCGCCGCTTTGTGGTCACCATCGAGTAGAATAGGCTAACCCAAATGGGCAAAGCGTGATATAAAGGCAATGAGGTCATGGAACGGCACGATGAGCTTCTCTGGGCTATCTTGACCGCCTCGAACTTGGATCTTTTACAGAATGACATCTCCTGACGTTGATAACGGTATGCATCCAAGTGACCATACCAGGAGATTCGTCTCCAGAGCAGCGTTGCGCTGTCCCTGACCCTTCCTTGGGACCGTCTAGAGCAATGGCAATCTACTGCTAGCAACACCTTTGGTCAAGAGACGACCCAAAAGAAGGGCCGCCTCTCCTCGGCCAGAAATAGATATAGAAGCACTTGAAGATTTTGCAGCAAAATATCCGGGTGCCGGAACCTAGATCCAAAACTTACCGGCCTGAGATAACCATTCATCAAATATGGAGAACAGTGAACAGGCAAACAGCCCAGAGGGTGCGTCGAGGGTGTCAACACGAACCTCAGGTCGGGTGCTCTCCAGAGACTACGCCGAGCAAACCCTATCGAGGTCGCCGTCCCAGCATCAATCTCGTTCTAGGTATCCCGACTTCAACTTTGGCCCGGCTTCACTGCGTCATCGCATCAGTAGCCTTCAAACAAGTCCGAACCCAAGTCCTGGTCCAGCACGAACTTGGGGGAGAGATTATGCGGATTCCAGCAGAAGATCTGTTGTCATTGCTGCGCCTTCAGCGAGAGGAGATGCCACCGATACTGCGTCCCGAAAATTCTCCCTCGCTGGCCCACCTCCTCTGGATACCTTGGCCGCCAACCAACCGTACATTGACCCAGGATACACACAACTCAATCCGGCATATGATCAACCAACAAATGTCAGACCCGTGTGGGGACTTGCTAAACCGTTGCCTCGTGTGCTGAGACCAGGCATGGTTCCAGCGAAGGACGAGCTTGAGAAAGAAGTCCAAGACGAAGAAAGAGAAGCACAACAGCCGCTGATGGCAGATATCGAAGCCGGCAGGATTGAACCCTCCCTAAGGCCAGACAAGGTGTCTTCGCAATTGGACACTATCCGACGCGAGAGAGAAATATCCCTGTATCGAGCCTATCAAAACCAGTACCAAGAGTCACCGGCATTTTCACCCTTTGGTGCCGCCAGAAGAACTTCAGACGCACTGACCGAAACACCGCACACGTGGATTCGACCAGAAGATACAATCGAGGAAGAAGCAGGCTCCGAGTCTCAACAGGCGGAACAGATTGAACCACCAGAGCTGTCACTACCCGAAGCAGTGGCAAATGTGAAGCGAGCAAAGGAGGAGGAAGAGGAATGGAAAGACGACCCCTACGAGGATGCAGTTCCGTTGGCAGCGTATCAGGCCGAAGATGAAGAAATCCACAATCTGCACACATACTGGTCCATTATTCGGCTGCGTTTTCGAGAACCGTTGGCCGAGCTACTAGGAGTATGTTACCCTCTTCCTACCTCTTTCCCTTCACTTTTGGTCATGAAGACAAGTAATTTGAGGATGATACTCTGACATCTACTTCATTCCCACAGATCACGGTTCAATACACACTTGGTTTCAGCGCCAATCTGTCAATGACTGTCTCGCGCGGAGCAGCCGGCGTCAATGATACGGGAACCTGGGCATGGGGTTTCGCGACCATGTTAGCCATCTACATCGCGGGCGGGATATCCGGCGCTCATCTGAACCCTGCGATATCACTAATGCTCTACATCTACCGTGGATTTCCGTTGCGCAAAATCCCCGTCTACGTCGCAGCACAGATGCTCGGCGCTTTTCTGGCGGCTTTGGTTGCCTTTGGTATCTTCCGGCCCGGCCTCATCGCTCTGCAACTGCATGCGGCGCAGGAGCAACAAAGCCACCTACACCTAGTAGAACAGAAGTTGACTAGAGGCATTGGTTCGACTTCAGTCTTTCCAGTGGCGTCGCCGATGTCAACAGTAGTATTATCTAACTTCCTCACCTTCCCCCGCGCTGCCTGGGTTGATAGCGGCACGGCATATCTTGCCGAACTTGCGGGCACCACCATCCTAACTATCTCGGTTCTCGCCCTCGGTGACGACACCAATGCTCCTCCTGGGGCCGGGATGAACGCCTTTATAGTCGGCTTGCTAGTTACTGTCCTTGGCATGGCGTAAGTACAAGAACGAGCTCTTGTTCGCAGACTTGCTGACCTGTGCATGTTGTCTCACTACAGATTTGGATATATCACCGGTCTAGCCATGAACCCAGCACGCGACTTTGGCCCCCGCCTTGCAATGCTCGTTCTCGGCCACGGCAACTTCAAAACCCTCTTCGCGGACGGCTATTGGTTCAAAGTCGCATGGTTAGGGCCCATAAGCGGTGCTATTCTGGGGGGCCTCCTTTACGACGCAGCTATCTTCGTTGGGGGCGAAAGTCCCGTGAATTATCCCACGAGGCGGATCCGACGGGCTGCGCGGAAGTGGAGGAAGCGATGGAGAGCGAGGATGAACTTTCGACGCACAAGACGGTGAAGTTGGCTCGTGAAAGAGGGGACTGTGTTGAGTTCGATGAATACGCATGGACAGTCGGAAATGGACGTCGCACATTTGTGATATTCATGCTCTTGGGACCCTCCCAGTGGTGAGATGTCGACGGTGTTTTATGGTAATTAGGCAAAAGGGAAGGATGTGTCTCTACTCATGATCATCGCGGAGATGGATCTTGTACGATCTTTCAGCATATACAATGCCATTCGCGTTATGCATGGTTGATATCAACGCAAGCAATAAATGACTCTTGAGATACACTTTGAGTGTTGGTCTTTGTCGACTGGTTGAGGGGTGCTTTTGCCCTGGACTTGTGAGACACAGCAACATACCAGGGTCTCAAGTACTCCCATAAACGTAAATTGTCAGTATTATTCCAACACCTTTTCCCTGAATGCAATGGTCACGTCGAGGAAGGACAGCGTCGACGAGGGAAAAGGTGAAACATGCATTTCAGCGCGCCTGTGATCCGCAGTAACAATAGTGCAGATCACGTGGTATCATCCTGCTGCCGAGTCTTGGCGTGTTTCACTCTCCGATGCCCGAATATCAGACTAAAGACTCGATTCCAGGCGACAGGATAAGATACACTTCCCTGATGTCCATCAACTTTCGCTTACACTGGACTTTCGCTGGACATTGACGTCGACTTGGATTGCTGCCACAGCCTGACTTTTCCATTCTAAGTTGTCTCATGTTCTGGGTGTGCAGATCCGACTTCGAGCGCCAATGTTCTCATCCGCCTTCAAGTCCTTCAGCTCGAATATAACGTCCAACTATGAAGTGTCCAAACATCCCTCTGCAACTGTAGGGGTCTGGACCATCTTTGACGCAAAGAAGAAGAACAGTGGCACTCAGGCCTCGGTTTTCATCTTTGACAGGAAATCGCTCGATGTCACCACGAGCGGGTTTGGAGCACGTGCTACGAGCGCCACGTCGGTGCGCAAGATCCAAGATGAGGTCGTCGAGCGCTTGAAGAAGGAAGCCAGCAGCCTGGCTCGGCTACGTCACCCCTCTATTCTGCAGTTGGTCGAGCCGGTCGAAGAGACCCGCAGTGGAGGGTTGATGTTTGCGACGGAGCCTGTCTTGTGCTCCTTATCCGCTGCACTGGCAAAGAAGGATCGAGAGGGGAATGGAAGGGGGAAGAATGTCTCGCGGTCCGCGTCGAATGATGGCGCCACTTCTCGGGCACAGCAAGACGTGGAAATCGACGAATTGGAAATTCAGAAGGGCCTGCTGCAGGTCGCGAAGGGGCTCGAATTCTTACACGACTCTGCTAAGCTTGTTCACGGAAACCTGACTCCGGATGCTATCATGATCAATGCCAAGTCAGACTGGAAGATCTCCGGACTCGGCTTCGCTGGGCCGCCCGACGGAGCGGAAGGGCATCAGACCGTTCCTCAGATTTCTCTGTCCGAGGTACTCCACCATGATTCTCGAATCCCTCGAACTGTTCAACTGGACCTCGACTATACTTCTCCCGACTTCGTGCTCGACTCGAATATCAACTTCTCGGCCGATATCTTCTCACTCGCTCTGGTTATCCTCGCATGCTACAGACAGCCGCATCGGTCACCAATTGAAACCCATGGCAACCAGTCAACGTATAAAAAGATCTTCGGCAGCGCTTCCACCGTACCGACCAGCGCAAACAACTATCTCTGCGACGGTGCTTTGCCACGGGAGTTGAATGTCACGTTACCGAGAATGTTGACCAGAAGACCAGCTCAACGGATGACCGCGAGTGAGTTCCAGCAATCGCAATACTTTGACAACATTTTAGTCAACACGATGAGGTTCTTGGATGCTTTCCCCGCCAAAACTCCCGCCGAGAAATCACAGTTCATGAAAGGCCTCGGTCGAGTCCTTCCTCAATTTCCGCCTTCTGTGCTAGGAAAGAAGATCCTTAGTGTTCTTCTGGACGAGATGAAGGATCGGGAACTACTCCCACTCATTATGCAAAATATCTTCCAGATAGTCAAAGTCGTCCCGTTCAGCAAAGAACTTGTCTCGGATAATATCCTGCCACGAATGAGAGACATATTCTTGTCCAAACCCAAAACCGAAGAACGGGATACCGGCAAAGAGGCCGCTTTCCTTGCAGTTCTCAATAACATTCAACTCATTGCCGACAACTGCTCCGCGAAGCAGTTCAAAGATGATGTCTTACCTATTGTTCATGTGGCGATGGAGTCATCTACCCATTCACTTACTGATGCCGCTTTACAGACCTTACCGGTTGTTCTCCCTTTGATCGACTTTTCAACGGTCAAACACGATCTATTCCCAGTTGTGGCCAACGTTTTCAGCAAGACCAATAGCCTGACTATCAAGATTCGAGGCCTTGAAGCGCTGGGAGTACTCTGTGGAGTCACGCCGGACCAGACAGAAAACAATATCGACGACTTCCCTGGGAAGGCCCAGCAAGAAAAGCAGGATAGGAATGTTTCCAGCTTGGACAAATTCACAATGCAGGAGAAGATTGTCCCTCTCCTGAAGGCGATCAAAACGAAAGAACCAGCAGTCATGATGGCGGCTCTGAAGGTGTTCCGACAAATCGGGACTGTTGGCGATACTGATTTCTTAGCCACTGAGGTGATGCCCATCCTCTGGAACTTTGCCTTAGGCCCTCTACTTGACCTTCCGCAATTCAGAGCATTCATGGATGTCATCAAAAGTTTCTCAAGCAAAATCGAGCGCGAACAGATTCGTAAACTGCAGGAACTCTCTTCGAGCAGGGTTCCAGAGTCGAGGGCTGCTTCCTCGTCGCTTAAGCAGGTCGGTAACGGTATCCATCAAGCTAATCAAGTCGCAAGCACAGAAGACGACTTTGAGAAGCTCGTCCTTGGAGACAAGAATACTGACAAGGTCGATGTCTTTGCGGGAGCTCTTTCTGATGGACAAAAGCTGACTCCGAATCCGCCATCCTACTCGTGGGCTCCCATAGATGCTGCCAGCGGGAGGAACACATTGGCACATCAAATGCCCTCGTCATTACCAGTTCTCCAACCGCAACCTCTATCCCGCTCAATTACTCCGGATGTCAGTGCCTCGGCGTTTCCAAGTCTTCAACCTGCCCAGCAATCCTCGGCCTCTATTTGGGGGTCGTCTTCATCTTCGCCTGCACCCTCGCAGAGTCAGCATCAAGTGCTACAGCCATCGAGTTATCTCTCCGGTTCTGTAAGCAACATATCTCCGTCGATAGCATCGCCAAATACGACCTGGCAACTCCCCCCGCCTCCGGGAGCGCAAGGGACTTCTAGTCCTGGATTCGCGCCTATGATAGCTCCCCCTCCTCCAGGCAACAGTCAGAGGACTGCTTGGCCGCAACCAAATTACAATAATTTTGCAGTGTCCTCGCCTCCGACCCCTGGATTCGGTGCCTCCATGAACGTGTTGCAACCGCAGAAATCTCCGCAGCAAACATCGCAACAACAGAAGACAGGTCTGGACAAGTACGAATCTCTGCTATAAGAGTGGCTGAGAGTTGGCGATTTGGTCCTTGTCACTATTGGTCAGATATAGGCGGCAATTATAGATCGACACACGCGAAGTTGGGAGGAAGAGGCGATTCTTTCGTATAGTGATTGGATCTTGCTGAAGGACGCGTGCGATCCCGGGATTGGCCGAACCAGCTATTGCAGATTTGGGTCATAATTAGTCCGCATTGTGCAACAAGATGACAGACTCCAACTCGTACCCGAGGCGCAAGGGCATCAGACTGGCAACGCCATTCGGTGATTGTTCATGGCATGAAGACCCCCAATGGTGACATGCGCCATGGGCGAAACTCTTAAGCCACCACGATTCTGTGGACCTTGCGGGCCGGAAAGAAGCTGAATCGAAGCCCTCGCCTGACCGGGGTTGATTCGCTGCTAAATGCAAGGCTCTCGCCTAGAGTATCTGATTAACCCCAATCAGGTCTGTCGATTTACACACACTGCTTCGGTCAAAGGCCTTCGTCTAACGTGGTTCTATACCGTGACAAGGATCGGAAAAGATCTATCTGTAATCCTGACGACTTTAGGCCATGTCAAGGGTTTTTCTATCTTGCGAGGGAATCAAGCCCACCCGTTCAGAGGTATGGATCTTCAACTATTAAACGTGCCTCGGAACTATTGATGAGTTTTGGTGCTGCACCTCCAGGACTATTCTTCAACTCGCGTCAAACTCATGAGAATCTCGTCCTTCGAGTGCTACATATGCTGCCATCCAACGGAACGTCCCAAGAATAGCCTTCTCCCGAGACAACGGCGATCAACGTTCATACACTTGGATCAATAACTATCCCCCTCTGGCGACCCTGGCCCAGCTACGGCTCAGGCCCAGTTGGCCACCAAGGTCGTCACAACCAGCTCGTCAACAGCTCTACGCCTGGCATATGATAAATTTTGGAGGGGAGATTGCAAATATGCCGAAACCCCTTCCTCTCCTGATGGACCATGAAACCCTACATATTTGAGTCAGTCCGGATTTGACATTGAACCCATTTCAACTCAGAGATGCGCAAATTGCTCCAAAGATACGGGGAGACGAACAGCCTATGTCCTTGTTCTATAATACTTTTTCCGGACAACCCTCCAAGATCGTGCCCTGGAAGCTACCTATGTATCTGCGCACGTACGCACAAGTGCGCAGAGAAAGTGACTTGTGTGCAAACACCGCTCGCTGATAGATAAATCGATGTCGAATCCTTTCGTCGAGGCGAGTCAGGAGGATGATCTCGCCGCGCAAGTCATGACCTTACGGTAGATGCGGTGGGAGTGCTGGATACTCCTCTTCCCCCAGGACCACTCCGTAGAGACTAGATCATGGCAGGCAATGGAGGTTGACAATACCGGGGTTCGACTTCGCATAGCGCGTACTCGCATGTGGAGGTGAGGGTAAGCAGGGGCCCCAAGTTTGCAAGACGATTCGGTGGGGCGCTAAATATGCAACCGGGATCAACCCACTGCGTTTCAATACCGTATTGGGGCGGTCCGATTGGACCAGTCGGCCTACCCAGGTATGAAGGCTCCGATAGTCTACATATGGGGAGTTGGTGTCGAAAGCATTGGAAATCAAGAAAAGATATGTAATTAGCGGTGACTGGATCAGGAATAAAGATGCAGGGTAGGATACGTATTGAGGGACCCTCTGCTCTGAGTCAGTCATCTGTGTTACTCGGTACCTCGCACTTGTACTGGAGTAGTGAGTAAGAAGATTATGCAAGGAACAAATCCCTTCGAGGTCGTTCGTCCGGGGCAAGATGAAGAACTCCGGCGGCACCGGCTCACGTGAAGCTGACGGCGGTTATTGGCGGAAAGACGCAGCCAAGCTCCAAGCTCCGAGCTCCGATGTCGCGCGGGCCAGAATTTCGTCAAAACGATATGTAATTAACGGGGTAACCCTGTACAGCAAAAGACCAGAAAGACATAATATACGAGGGAAGAAAACAGTCACTTGTTAACATCTCTATCATCGACAGGCGCCCTTCGACAATCTCTCCTCCGTACTACTGCGCTCCCTATCTCCCTCGCAGCTGGCGACTCCCTCAACCGTCCAGCTTCTCTCCTATATCTAATCCCACCTACCCCTTGGTGTTCGATGATCCCCGAGCAATAACAGACAAAAGACAATGTCACTCCCTCGGCTATTCCGCACGCCCTGTGCGCGCGCGCTCACCTCACCCACATTCAAGTCGGACTCGATACGGCTACGGCCCTCTTATAGACTGTTTTCGACATTTTCTTCACGTCAGAAGTCGTCTTTGGGTGTAGACGATGACATCCACTCCAAGCTTCCGGGCATCGACCCGTCAAAGTTGGAGGTCACCAAGACCATCACCCCGAAAGAGCTGGTGCCGAATAAAGATCTTGTATTTGGGAGAACCTTTACCGGTAAGGGAGGCCGAATGGAATATAGCCCTTGAATGTTATGGCGTTGTTTTATTGACCGCAAAAAAAAAATCAGATCATATGCTGTCCATCGAATGGACGGCGTCGCAGGGCTGGCTGCCTCCTCGGATAACCCCCTACCAAAACCTCTCGCTCGATCCCGCGACCTGCGTCTTCCATTATGCATTCGAATGCTTCGAGGGCATGAAAGCGTACAAATGTCTGAAAGATAACTCGCTGCGACTGTTCAGGCCGGACAAGAACATGGAGCGCATGAACAAGTCGGCCGCCCGCATCGCGCTCCCCACGTTTGAAGGCGATAAGCTTGTAGACTTGATCGGCACGCTGTGCAAGTTGGACGAGCGCTTCATCTCCGCCGAGAAGGGATACTCACTGTACATCCGACCGACGCTGATTGGGACGCAGCGAACGCTCGGTGTCGGACCACCGGGTTCGGCGCTGCTCTACGTCATTGCATCCCCCGTCGGGCCATATTACCCAACCGGTTTCAAGGCCATCTCGCTAGAGGCCACCGACTATGCTGTGCGCTCTTGGCCGGGCGGCGTGGGTGACAAGAAACTGGGCGCCAACTACGCGCCCTGCATCGTGCCACAGCTGAAAGCGGCCAAGAAGGGCTTGCACCAGAACCTGTGGCTCTTCGGACCCGAAGAGTACATCACCGAGGTCGGCACGATGAACCTGTTCGTGTGCATCCGGAACAAGGAGACGGGACAAAAGGAGCTCCTGACGGCGCCGCTCGACGGGACCATCCTCGAGGGCGTGACGCGCGACTCGGTGCTCGCCCTGGCCCGCGAGCGCCTCGAGCCTGAAGGGTGGAACGTCGCCGAGCGGTACGTCAAGATGCAGGACCTGGCCGACGCGGACAGCGAGGGCCGGCTGCTCGAGGTGTTCGGCGCCGGCACCGCCGCCATCGTCGCCCCCGTGCGCAGCATCTTGTGGAAGGACCGCGTCCTGCACTGCGGCCTGAAACCCAACGAAGAGGCTGGCGAGGTCGCCAGCAAGATGAAGGGCTGGATCGAGGCTATCCAGTACGGCGACGAGGACCATCCGTGGAGTTATAAAATTCCTGCCTAAGCCTAAACCTAACAGAGGCGAGAGAGAGAGATTGGAGATGATGCTGCCTTGTTTTTAGCACCCCTTTTGAACTCGTTTATACCTTACAGACCGAGAGAAAAAGAAAGAAAGAAAGAAAGAAAGAAAGAGACAAGAGATGTGAAATATATCATATCGCTTTCTGATACTATTTTCCCCCCCCCCCCTTTTCTGTTCCTTTTCTTCCGGCCCCCTTCGCGATGATGACTCTTTTTTTTCCCTTCTTCGAATTCTTTGAAATCTATATACGTTCTACTCTCCCTCCCCCCCTTGCCTTCTCTGGGAATCTCTTTTTTCTGGTTGCACCTATGCATGCTCCGTACTAGATTGTGAATTGAATGCGACGTCCCTCGTCACTTTCCCCCTCTCCCCTGTTCCCCTTTTATTCTTCTTTCAAAAAAATAAAAATAAAACGTGAGTGAATGAACTGGTTGGGGGCCGGTGGAAGACGGTGAAACCTGAGGATCGCACCGTTGACGTTGATTGACATTGACATTGACATGAATACGATGTGCGGACACCACGTCCTCGGTATACTGACAGGATATATATATAGAGACAGATAGATTTGTCTATACATAGACCTATGGATAGATCTCGAGCCAGTTGCGCTCAAGAGACATAGACCAACAATGTCCAGCCCGAAAGTTTGTATCTATGTGTGTATAAACCTCTGATCCCCATATATCGCAGAGCCATAAACTTTTTCTATATCATTTTTTCCCAGGGACGAATCCTCCTAGTCTCATTCTCATTCTCATTCTCGTCAAGACACATACAAACCATACAACGCAAACAGATTGCAACCAAAGATGATTTATCGGGCGATTTCATGAACTCAACAAATCTCGCACGCTCATGCCCTTGCCTCGATCTTTACTGCTGTCTCTCATCCGGCCTACCGTCGAGGCTGTCACGCTGCTTTGGGCCTCGGTCCTCCCACCACCTCTCCACTCGTTCGTCAACATCATCAAGGCCGCACTGGCTGTGGCCTCCGCGGTGCCCGAACCATCACTCAGGGCGCCGGGAGAACTGCTCCCAGCCTCACGTTCGCGCTGGATCGATGCGTTGTAATGGGGTGGCAGTTGTAAGGACGCCACCGCAGGGTGAGGTAGTGGGAGGTTCATGGCGGCTTTTGGCGAAGGCAGCGGCTGTAAATTCGGGCTCGGGTTTGACATCGAACCCGAAGAGCCGCCCGAGGGATTAACGCTTGCCCAAGAGGACGTCGGTGTGTTAAGCACGCCGCTCCCAGACTTCCCGACACTGCTGTTGGTTTGCGTCCGTGCCAGGTCGGGTGAGAAATGGATGGAGTTGAATGCTGGTGACAACAGTGTCGGAGTCGGAGTCGCAGAGGAGACCATGCCCCCGGAGTGCACAGTGATGGAGGGCGAAGCTGTAAAGGACTGTACGCCGGCTGGTAAGAGCGGTCTCTTCTTCAAGTTGCCAGCTTCGTCCATTGCTCCTTGCGATTGGCTGTGAATGTGAGGGGACGGATAGGTTGAAGAACCGCTCAATGACGCGACAGAGGACTTGCGCGAGTCTCGCAATGTCCATTCGCTGCCGGCCACGGTGCTAGGTCGACTACTCCGTCCCCTTGCTGGTGGGGCCGCAGGAATAGTCGTAGTCACGACGTCGACAGCTCCATCCTCGTCCTCATCCTCGTCTTGATCGTCTTCGTCTTCGTCGTCCAAATCCTCATCCTCGCCCGGCGGGTCGTCCAACTGCATCCTCGAACTCGTTGAAGATCTCATTCTGCCCCCTAACTTTGCATTCTCATCCTTCAGCTGGGCCACACATCCCTCCAAGTACCGTACGTACTCAATTCCTGCTTGCAAGATGGCAAGTTTATGCATCTCCACGCCTTCACAAGCGGGAATCATATCTTTCAAGACCCCAAACTCTTCATTCATTTTACTCCGCCTGCGTCGTTCTATGATGCTATGGGCGGTCTTGCGGGCAATCTTCCTGCCCGCAGCGCTGGTGGCAGAGGGTTGTTTCCGCTTCGAGTTTGTGGTGGTGTTCGACGCTGCGGATGCGGCTGTGGAGGCTTTGTTGGGAGGAGACGTCGTGGAGGTTGCCGCCGATGCGGGAGGTACGTAGCTCGCATCACTGGCTGGAGAGGAGTTGTTTGTCGTCTGAGATTTGGGCTTCATCTGAATGATCTTGCGGGCTCGACTTGGAGGAGGGGGGAGAGCGTAGGAAGTATTGGCACCGCCGTTGGCGGCCGCAGACTCGACGGCCGCTTTGACCACTCCTGAAGACGTCCTCTTGTGTCGGGGACTCGCGGCGAGCGGTTTGTCTTGAGGAGAGACAGGAGGCGTACTTTGCGAGGGCGCCGTAGAGTTTGTGGCGTCTCGTGTATGCGACGACTTTCCATTCGAGGGGGTCTGGGAGTGTGCGTCGGTCGACCGAATTGCTGGCGGTGGCAGCGTGAAGATCGATTCCATCTCTGAGGTCTGGAACGCCTTCAAGTTCTCCAAGGCTTTCAAGTCAGATGAGCCGGTTGGAGTGGGCGGTGGTTTCGGCCGTGGCATAGTTGAGGAAGAGGAGGGGCGAACAATCGAATGTCGATCGAGATGAATGTAGTAGGGCAACGCAAGAATAGTACCGAGTACTCGAGTCGTAGGACACGTAGAGGAGAGGGGTCAAGCGGTCTCAGACTGAAGCACGCGAGGTGTGTATATCCGGGCTTTGTGAGGAAATCTCTAACGTTTCACACCGGAACCGAGAGAGTCAACGCTCTGCCAGAAGAGAAGCACAACGACAGAACTGAGGGCATGATGAGCAAGCGAAGGGGGGAAACGAGGGGTGTTTAAAAAAGACAACGACAAGGACCGTTGTCAGAACACAACCAAGGAGAAAGACTTGGGAGGGCAGGGAATACCAGAAGCTGCTTGGGAAAATAAGGACGAGTTTGTTCGCAACAATTGCAATTCGGAAACGTCGAGATGGACGGATATGGGCACGTGTATCAAGCACAGTGAGCACACGACACCCATGGACGACCCTCGTGTGATGGCCGTGATAGGTGATAGGAGCAGAGCAAACCAGCCTAGCAATACTCATAGTTGCTTCTCAGTGCCCTCGTGTGTGGCCGGCGGGACGGTCAGTGGCTGCTCAAGGATCTCTGGAAGCGTGGGAGGGGGAGGCCCTGGAGATGGCTCCCGGTTTGGCCTTGCCGGGGGGTTGGTGGTGCTCGTTTCGACATTTTCCCTATGGTGAAGCTGAGAGAGGCAACAAGGGGACAAGCTGAGGCGAGCGTGAGAGAAGAAACGAGGACCAACTCTAGACATGAAAACACGCTGCACGTTCTAGAACAAATCGACCTGATTGGACCGTGGCCCAGAAGTTTGCGCCCTTGAAGACGCCCTCATCCCCGCTTTATCGATACGGAGACACGGCCACTATGCATGTGCTTCCCGGATCCTCCTTGTCAAGGGGCATTACAAGTAGTGCACGTACAAGGTACAATGCAGCTATTCAATGGTATGCGAAAAATGTGAAGATGGACCAGAAGTTTGGGGGTATCATGTTTTTTGGCACTTTTCGATTACAACTAGTATGTGGACAACATTTGCATCAAGATTAAATATACGGTCCTTTTAGTGGTGGTGGCTGCTGCTGTCACCCCGCCGCATGGTCGTCGTCAATGGTTTTCTAACTCATCGCCCTCATGTCGTGGTCTTTTTGGCCCCATTGCTAACGCCGTGCGACGGTTCCGGTCGCTTAAAATGCACCTTCAATGGCTCCCAAGAATGCGCATTGTATGTCTGAAGCAAATGTCAGCAGTGGCTCCCAAGCACGTACAGCGTGGCATCAGGATAAAACACTCACCTCTTGCACTTTCTGGCAAGTCTTCAACCCCCACTCGGTCACTCCAACCATCAAGCAACTCTCAAACATGAACGCCATGCTGCCTTCGCCCACCTTTTGAGGCGGCAAATCCGCCGTCGACGCCTTTTCAAATGTCTGCATGTCTGGTCCATGCCCGCTCATGGTGTTATGGAGACTTGCTCCTGCTGGCTGGAACCCGCCCTTGCCAGCCCCCTTGGCATCGTAGTTACCCATGATCAGCCCCATGAACTCGGACATGGTATTGCGATGATACCACGGGGGCCGGAAGGTGTCTTCGGCCACCAGCCATCGGGGAGGGAAAATGACGAAATCTAGAACAGCTGTTCCTGCTCCGTGAGGATGAGACGGAGCAGACAAGACAGTGAAGATAGAAGGGTCGGGATGATCGTAGGAGATGCTGCCCACAGGGTTGAATCGGCCGAGGTCGTACTTGTAGGGATAATAGGTGCCGTGCCAGCCCACAATGTCAAATGGGGTGTGAGATTGCTTGGCTGAAAAGAGATTGCCGCCGAATTTGCCGTACAGCGTCCATTCAGTGTTCTCGTAGTCCTCGATGAAATCGGCCACCGGTGTCTGGAAGTCGCGTGCGTTTGCGAGACCATTGGAACCAATTGGTCCCAGCTCGGGCAATTTGAAGTGGCCCTGGTACAATTCACAGACGTACCCTCGCGCGGGTTCGTTGTTATGCAATGTAACGTGGTATCGAGTTCCCCGCGGAATGACACAGATTTCATTCGGTCGCACAAGCATCTTGCCAAATTCGGTTCGGATGTCAAGCACCCCATGTTGTGGAACAATCAAGAAATCGCCGTCGGCGCTGTAGAATGCCGTCTTGTCCGGCATGCTGCTGCCACAGGCGTAGATGTAGATGCCCAGGCCTTGTTTCATGGTGGGATCTCCCGCGCCAGCCACCAGGTGCAGGGAGTGAATCCAAGACACCTCTTTGTCGAAATCGAAGGGATCCCATCGCAGCTGATTCGGGATTACATTGAAATGGGCGCTGAAACTGGGAGTGGGAGAGGCTAGGGACTGCGACGAGGACGAAGGTACCGGTTGGAAGTTCTGGTGACTAGCAGAAGGAAGGATTCGATAGAGCCATGTCTGCTGGTTCTCGTCTCGTGGCGCAGTGAAGGCCGTGCCTGAAAACTTCTCGTTGTACAGGCCGTACGGGCATTTTTGAGGAGAGTTTGCCGCTACAGGTAGCGTGCCTGGAATAGCTTCACTCCTGGAGAGGATCGTGTCAGCCAATGGAAGACCAAAAAAGGCATTGAAAGATCCCATACTCTTTGTACCCCCCGAACCCATTCAGATATTCGTACGTGTCGGTCACAGCGAATTGGGTTACAGGCATCGTCGATGGCTTGTTCGTCGGTAAAGGTATTCACGTTGCGAACTAGTAACGGCAGTGTTAGTGACAAGTCACAACTTCTGTTGAGGCTGGAAAAGGTAAAGTGAATGAAGGGGGACGAGGCTGGCGGGAAGAGTTAAGAAGAGCTGAAGAGCAGTGGATGGACTTACTGGTGAGGGGCGTCTTGTACTTGATGTTGATGTCCTTGTTTTCGCGGTGCCTTTCGATGGCCTCTTGTAAACGTTTAAGGCCCTGCATGAAGGGCAGTATTGTCGTATGATCACCTGTGACGAAGAATGAGATAGACAGGTCAGAGAGGAGAGTGCGGAATGGTTTGTGAGAAAGCGAGGGACTGATTCCGTGGGGAGGAGGAATATGAATGAAATGCAAAACGGGCCCAAGTAGTCCCTCAACCTGAAGATGGGATGCGAAGTGCAGAAGTGGATACAATCCCCCAAACAATAGTGCAGGTGCGCTAGGACCCAGTTTTCGTGAATATGCGAGGGATTCAAATGGGGAGGGGCTTGAAAGACACCGAGATGGACAGGGGTGGGAGTCACTGGCGATAATGACTTGGCGGTCTCCGATAGACCGCGAGCCCGAGCTACAAGCACAGCTCCATTACACCCAATGCAAGAAGGAGGTGTGGCCGTTGTATCTCTGTGGTTGGACGGTCATGCCCGCAGAGTCATCTTTCCATGGCCACGCACAGCTGGTCAAACACGAGGACGGGCGAGAAATTTCGTTGCAACCGTCCAAGATTAGGTTAGAGGCAGGTGAGGGCAAAAGGCACGGACACAGTGGGATAGCATTCCGAGATAGGAATTGGAGATGTCAAAGCGCCGTGAATGGATGAGAGCAAGCCACTGGGGCCCCCGACAAGACATGGATGGCGGAATGAGGCGTAAGTTTTTTGTTTCTTTTGGGCTTGGACTCGGGCTCGAGGTGCCTGGACAGTGCGGGATGTCTGCGTCGCAAGCAAGTTTAGCAGCCAGTTTTAGGTGCAATTGGGTGGGCCTAGTGGCTGTTGTGGGCAGTGGGGCGATCGGCAGGGCGAATTGAGACGCCCAAACAAAACCCCGATCCCAGGCCAATGTCCCACAATCTCCTGCCTCCTGTGCCGACTTTCCCGCTAAACAGCCCACCCTCTCGGTCGTTTGTGCGCTCAGTGACGCCTGCTTGTCAACTGCACACGCATGCACCCCTCACCACCCAACGACGCTGCCCTTTAACCGAGGGGTGTGAGAATGGTGAGAGAAAAGGAAGAAAGTGAAATCGGTAGTGGTGGGCTTGTGTGAGTCTGACGTCTTCTGATCAGTGCAAAAGAAGGAAAGATGGAAAGGAACGCATCTCCGGTTTTGCTGAAATTGGCTCGCCTGAAAGATGTTGCTGTTTCTGTGTCGGCTGCGCAAGAGGATGCGCCCGTGTGCGCCCTCGTTTTGGAGTCAGAATGACTGCGGGTGTAAGATGCTGATGCTCGTGTAGCGTGGCTGGCTGCGGGCTGCTGGCTTGTTGGCCCTCGGTGGTTATTTCTGGGCGCCCCGGGACAACCGTCTGGGGCGGTTGGACGCATCGGTCAATGGGGCGACAATCTGCCTGAAGATCTGTGATGGGTGCGCCTGTGCCGTGGCTGGCTTCGGGTGCTCTGGGGCCCAAAGGGGGGATTGCAGGCAGCCCGTGTGTTGCCCTGTTCCAGCCCATGTTTGAGTTGTGAGGGGTCAAGGGGTGCCCCCTGTTAGAGCCTATTCACCCATTGTGCCATTGTAACCCATCATGACGGCTGCCACCATTCCGAGCAAAAACTTTGCTACTCCAACAAAATCACCCAAGCCGGCTGGCCTCTTGCCCGCCAATGCGCTGCCGTATGACGCCAGTGATCGTCACTTTTTGGATCGTCGTCGTCATTGTACTTTGTTGTGCTCTCGAGTGTTCACGGCCGATCCAGAGCACGTTGCCGGCGATCTCGAGCATGCGAAAATAGCCTGATATCTCAAACCTCTCTCTTCCAAGAGTCTGGGTTTCGGGTTCCTCAACAGCTGGCCCAATGGCTCGTATCTTGCGGAAAGTGTCGAATTATCCAGAAGGTCTCGGCAACGAACAGTTCACGAGGTGGCGACGTCCAATCACAAGGCCCTGAAGCACTCTGATGCTCCTCGAGCGCAGGGGGGCAACTTTGGCCGGCTCGGGCGGCTTGCTCGTACAACCGTTCCATCATTTGGTCCTCAAAGATCCCCCGCCTCTCCATTACCATTCCAATATGTCCGCGTCGCAAACGTTCAGGCTTAGCGGAATGACGCCGGGACCTCCAGAGGTCACCAGTGAGAGGACAGA